ATAAAAAGTCTCATCTCAACTTTTAAATAATCTCTCTCCCTGGCACTATGGATTTGAATCATTCCTGGTTCCTTTTTCGTTCAAAAGTATCAATCTATCTTGTTTCCTGCATGAGGAGATCACAAATGATGTCAAAACTAACATTCCCATTCCTGGCTATTCCCCAAACCACCTATCCACCCACTTTTTTAAGATCAAGTTCAAACCTACCTCCATCTTTCCCCTTATTATCCCTCAGCCCAACGCAATGTGAACCACACTTGACTTGCTAAATATGTGCCATTTTATTAGGAATAAAACCGACAATACAAAATTTATAAACCTAAAGATAGGAAATGTTAAATAATTTCTAATATCTTCCATAGCACCTAACTCAGTATTAGGTACTTAGTCCATACCAATAAATGCTTTAAGTCACAGATAATCAGATGGAAGGGATCTTAATGATCACCTAGCCCAAACCTTTCTTCTATACTTTGCTTACATGAGTTATGCTTGACAATTAGGATTCCACCATTTACTTTTTTAGAACAATGGGTCTTAACCCTTGAGTTAAGAATCGCCAGAAAAATAAAGACTCACATAGAATTTCGATGGTTTACAGAATCCCCTGAATCCTATAAATGAAGCCCACATTAATTAAATAATAATATACTATCACCAACAACAAAAATAAGTGTTTACTGTGTCCCTACCAACATTCCTAAGACGGCGATTATTCCCCAGCCTTCCTTGCAGTTAGATCAATCCATGAGATCAAGTTCCCCCAGGGGAATGAGGAAAGGAAGTGACAAGCAGAACTTCTGGGCTAGGGCCCTGAAGTTAAGTGTACTTTCTCTGTATTCTCCACCTCCCTCTGGCCCTAACCAGGACTTCTCAGCCACCTACCTTAACAACTCAAAGAAGGACAATGCTCTCACGGTTGGTGTAAAAATAAGCTGGAAACAACCTTGGAAAACCTTTGTTTTCCAAACAAAATAAGTTTGGAAAAAATAGCTCCAAACGACTCTAAGGAGAAAAGCCATTGCAACATCTAGAACACCCTCCCTGAACCACTAAGTGAGAAAGACAATAAACTTCCATCTTGCTTGAACCATTATTTAGGGTGGATTATTTATTACAGCAGTTTAGACTACCCTAATCAATACACATAAATTGCCCGTTAATCCTCTCACGAACCCTATAAAGTTGTTGTTACTATTACCTAATACTAGAGGTCAGGAAACTTGAGGCACTGAGAATTTAAGAAACTTGCCTGACACACTACTAGAAGCCAGCTTCAAGGCAAGCAGTCTGGCTTCCAGGGTCCATGCACATTAGAAATGCCACCAAATAGCTAAAAAGAAAAGTTATTATGTGTTATGCCTTCTTATACCAGATTAACTTTTTGCAACCACCACCCCCATCCTAACAGTTTAGTAAAGACAGTGCCAACAGTGATTGTACTGGTTCAAAACAGTACAGCAAGAAGTTCATCTTCCAGCCTAGAAAAGTAATAAACTGTACAAAGATTACAAAAGTAATAAATTCTTCCTCAGCCAAGATCAGAAATTCCATCACATCATACCAAAGCTACCAGTATTGGGTGGGAAAGCAGCACTGTCAGTAGGAATTGGGCTTACATGAGCAAAACAAAACAAAATAAAAACAAAAACCCAGTCTCTCTTCAACTTCTCTCATTTTGTAGTTCAATAGTTAATATTTACTTTTACCTAAACAGAAATCTTGGTTCCCAAATTCTGAACACAACCAAGAGAAACATTGATGGAAAATATGGTAGACACATGAAAAGACTACAGGTACTAAATAATGATGCGGGTTGGGAGGGAGGTGGAAAGATAAAACCACCTGGGGCTTTGGAGGCTGGAGGCTAGGCAAAGTTGAAGGAAGGAACAAGGTTTGAGACTCAGAACATCAGAACTGAAGTAAATAATTCCCAATCCAAAGCAAGAAAACATGTCTTAACAGCAAAATGCTTGGAAAGAAGGAAACAATCTCTTTGCAAACATTTGGTAATGTTCCAAGCACTCAGAACAATATACAGACCTTACCCTCTAAGAACTTGCTGTCTATCTAGTAGAGGGGGCATTTAAATATAACTATGTACATAGAAAATTTACTTTCTTACTGTGTCCCAGATAACTGTTCTAAGTTTATTACATGTTACACATATCAACTAATTTATTCCCATGAGGTTGGTCTATTAATATCCCAACTGTGCAGATGAGGCAAAGGTTTAAGTAATGTGGCTCACGACACATAATTAGTAAACAAACCAATTGGATTAGACACACAGGCAGCAGCCAGATTATAAGAGACCTTATGCCCTTGCTAATGGGTCTGAATCTCACCCTATTGGTTGGTGGTTCCCAAATGAGGATGGTATATGAAAATACATACACCTATCAGGCCCCTCAGGGTAGGGAAGAGGGCACTACCACTGTTGTGGTATTCCCACTGTCTTTGTAAGGTGTCCTGCCTTCCAGACGTTGGTGTAAACAAACAAAAAGAGAACTGCTGTTATACAGGTGATGGGGAGCCACTTGGCTAGACAACTTCAAAAACAATACTCACAAGGAAGGAAATGTAGCTGTGAGTTCCAGTCACACTATTTAGGAAGGTGTTAGCTATTTCTCTTAAATGTAAAGCTACCTAAACAGGCTCAATATCCTTTTACACTCATGTGTTTTAAGTGTACATAATAGTTTTTGGCTACAACCTCAGATTTGGCAGAATAATTAACACCAATTAACACACCACACTGGAAAACCACAGCCTCTGCCCCTCAGTGCTTTCAAAATAACTATACTTACAAGGGTATTTCCCACCATTTGCATTTCCCTTACACAGGTTTTGAGAAGAAAGCAAGAATTCTCTTTTACCACAATTTACCTGGCCCTTTTTTCTTTTTTTTCCAACTCTGAAACAACTACCCAGGTTGACATCACTACAAAGTTTTACCATGCTGAGTAACAGGGCAGCAGAAAACATTTCAACTCTTTATTTCACAAATGCAGAAAATAAGTCTCAGAGACAGAAAACAACTTGTCCAGGGTAACACAGGCAGTGAATACAGAAACTGTGACTTAAACCCTGGTTCTCTACCACCAAGCCTCATGAGAAAAGAGGACAACTGGTGGTAAGCAGGATGCTTTTAGGTTCACAAACAATTTTTATTTTAATAGTTATGCATATAAGAAACAGTCACCACACCTAATCCACAGTTTCACAGATATTGCTTAGGGCTAAGCTATGTTTTTAAAAAAGCAAGCTGTATTTATTTGGTAAATAATACCAATCCAACACAAATATGCAAAACTGGGAAGGGGTATGCAAGTGACAGAGTTTGAGAAAAATGCACCACACCCCTCTGCTTCTAATCGAAGGGTTAAATAGTAAGCAAGCCATTAAGCTTCTCTCTCTTCCTAATTCCTATACTTCATTTCTTTTTCTTGTCTTACCATATTGGCTAGCATCACCAATACAATACTGGATAGAGTATCCTAATCTAATTCTAAATGTAATGCTACTTCTAAAGTTTCACAATTAAGTATCTTTTTTTTACATTTTTTGTAAATACACTGTTTTTAAGTTTATGGAAATTCCTTCCTATTTCTACTTCAGTAAATGATCAAAATCAAAACTCATCTCTGACCCACCCTTCTCCCTCTACACTGCCTTCCACTCCTCTTCCCCTATTTCAGGTTCCTTGCTACATTCTCTGCACCTCAAAGTACTCTATCTGCCACCCATACATAGTACCTGAGACTCTCTGAAGATATTCTGGACATTCTATACCTGTCTGCTGTTTGAGGTCCCTGAATAAAAATGTTTCTAAAAGTTGTAACTGAAACAGAACCCTAAAACATTTGTAGCCATCACTTGAAGATCATTTCTTCTCTCCATCTCTCAAACACACCCATCAATGTCTCCCCTTCTTTAAAATAAAAACTCAGCAAAAAAACAAGCAAAATTGTTCTAGATTCCGGGTAACTTTCCAGTTCAGAGCCTAGCTCTGAATGAGCCTGCTTAAGTGACTAAGAGAATCTCAAAGCTTTCACAGAACTTTTGAGGGAGGCAGCTGGATCCAGATGTTCATAACTTCTACTCTCCTTTGCTAAAATGAAGAATTTTAAAGAATAAAACAGGAAAGGGGTAGTAGACATAGTATTTGTAAACAAATGAGGCAGTTGCAAAATATAAAAAATGACGACACCAGCGGGAAAATCAACCCTTTAAAGCCCAGTTAAGTTACGAATTCTTTCCCTCATCAGTTTTTCTTTTAAAACAAAAGGGCGCACACAGTCCTTCCCGAGGCAGCAACACCGAGGGGAGCAGCCAAAATGTTGCATCATACAAAACACTCCGCGTCTGAGAAACAAGAAAACCAGATGGTGGTAAAATACCTAAGACAGGAAAACCCAAGCTGGGAATCTCGGTCTTTTCCGAAGGCCCAGTTATGTCTGCTTTTATTTGCTTTTTTTGCATCGAAAATTAAAGTTACAGTTTCATAGCAGCGAGAAGCGAACTGTTCTTTCAGAAAGCGCTCCACGAAGTTCCGCTCATCATCTCCCGACTGGCTCGACGCTTCGGCTCCCTGGGGACGGACTAGGAGGGCTGGGGACGGGGTGGGGCCGGGGCCGGGCGCCCGGGCGGAGGGACGCGACCCAGCCCCGCCCCGGGGCCGGGGGCTCGGCGGCCGGGGAGCAGCCCGTCCCCCTCGGACCCAGGGCGTCCGCCGGAGCCCGCCGCCCCGGAGTGCCGGCTTCTGGGGTCGCGATCCCACCCCCGCTCCCTCGCCCGGCCCGGGCGGCGGGAAGGCGCGGGTGGGCCCGAGACAATGGGCCGGGGGAGCGGGAGCAGCTCTGCGCTCAGCCCCGGGAGCCGCGCGCCGCGCGGGGGCGCAGCACTGAGGGGCGCCCCGCGCCCAGGGACGCCGCCCGCCGCCGCCCAGCGGGCGCCGGGAACTCAGCGGTGCGGGGCTGCCGACGAGCGCTCACCTTGACGAAGAGCTCGATGATGGGCTCTTTGTCCTCCTCCTTCAGCCCGTTCAGCGGCATCGACAGCGCCATGGTCGGCTCGGCTGGGCTCCGCGGACGGCGGCGGCGGCGGCTGCTGCTGCTCTGGAGCTGCTCGGGCTGCGGGCTCCGGCCGCGCTGCGCCTCGCTGGACAGTCCCGGCGTGGAGCTCGCCTCAGCTTCGACTCCTCAGCACCGCCCCACGCCCGGCGCGCGACTCTGAGGCGGCGGCAGCCCGAGCCGCTTCAAGCCGAGGGGCGGGGCCGAGGGGTGGGGCCACGGCCGGGTGTCTCGGACTCTAGGAAGGAAATGGGTCGGCGGGAGCCAGGGAGGAGGATGGAGGCTCGGGCGTCGAGGGACAGCCGAGGGGGCGTGACCTAGGCTCGGGGGTGTGACCGGGTAGTGGGCGGGGCTAATAACCTCGCTTCTCGATGGGCGGGAGGGAAAGCCCCGGGGGCTGAGCCTGACACCGCCTCTCGCCAAAGCGCGGGCGCGTCCTCGCAGCTGCTGCGGGCGCTGTGCCAGGTGACCTCATGCCTTCGGCGGGCCTGGAAGGGAGCAGGCGCCTCCTGCCCTCTCCCCCGCTGCAGAGCCCGGGACTCATCGCCGTTTCCCGCAGCAGCCACCTCCCCAACTCCCTGTTAGGCGGAACTCCCTTTTCCAGGACAACTTTTTGGAAAGTTTTCATCCCCTTGGAAATCACCTTTTGTTTCGTCCTCTGACATCGTTTTTCCCTTTGCTTCTCCTGACATTTCTATCTTGGGAGCCAATGTCTTTACAAATATTTATGAGACTCTACTGGGTTCCAGGCCCTGCGGATAAGCAGTCTGGAACTGCGACCCCAGTGCCTGCAGGCAGCAATGAACCCCCAAGCCCTTGTCCATGGTTTTCCTTCCGCTGGTAGTGATTTCTTCACCGCCCCCCATTCACCTGGCAAACTTGACTATGCATCAGTATCACCTGGGTGCTACACACAGACCTGCTTCATTCAGTTCTCTGAAGAAGGGGGAAATTAGCATTTTAACGAGCACCCGGACAATTTCGATTAGGTGGTCCTCAAACCAGAAAAATTGCAGTGGGTTTTAAGCCCCTGAGGACAGGAGCGGTGGTACTTTAAACCAGGCAGAAGGTAGACACCTGGCCCAAGTTTGCCACTGATGAATGCCTGCGGCAAATGCCACCCCCTCTGGAAACAGTTAGTTGTTCCCTCTTCTGACTTTCGTAATACTTGACTCACTTCTTCCCACTTCCCAGGTGAAGTTGAATGGTGGTCCCAAAGAGGGTGAGACGTAGGAGGTTTTTCTCTCCACATCCTTGGTACATAGCACATGTCAGAAGGGTTGAACAAACTGAATGCTTGCGTGAAAATACAGCGAATCATCTTCCTCTCCCAAACCAAAGCAAATTGCTCAAATATTCTTACAGGGAATCTGTTAAGAGACAGTGAACCGCAGAGGTTAGGAGCCCATGCTCTGAGCAAGACTAAGTCCTGAAACCACAAGGTCCTGAAACCCCTGAGCTTCAGTTTCATTATCTAGAAGGGAGGTAGGGAGAGAATTACTGGTCCTTGCCTTACCACGTATCTACTCAGTGGTCGCTTTTGTTGCTGCATCGGGCCTTGTACTGTCCCCATTCGCCCCTGCAGGCTAGGATGGCATCATATTCAACCCCGGTGTGACAACTAGCTTGTTTGTTGAAAAGACATAGATGCCAGGAGGCTGCCCCTTAGATGGGGACTTGAGCCAAAAACAAACTGAAGTGCCTGGCTGGACTCTTGAACTGAAACCAGCCTAGTGTTCGTTTTTCATGGAATCACAAACTGAACCCAAGTTCCCTTCCAGCCTCCCCCCTCCACTCTGCCTGAAAAGGAACCAAAGTAGTGAATCAGTTCAAAGAAGATCCAGGTTTAAAATGATCAAATTTAACCTCAAAGAGTCCAGACTGACACTAAGGCAAAGCAATATTTCAAGGTGGTCCTGTTTTCAGAGGTGTGCCTGAGAGTTTATCAAATTCTGTTTGAATCAGTGAATACTCTCTGTGGTGTCTGTTGTAAGTTCCTTCTGGCTTCACAGGACCAGGATATGAAGATGGCCAAGACCTGGAAGGAGGAGCAAACCCGGGCTCTTTAGTCCTCATTAGCGAAACTCAGATCTCAGCTGGGAGGAAGCCCATGACATTCTCCTTCACAGAGCCCTGAGATAGGGATGATCGCTGAAGCTCAGCCCTGGGCACAGTCACTCATACCTGTTTTTCCCAGTTTCCACCCCCATGTGGCTCACATGAATGGCAGAGCCAGTCTAGAGAGGAAGAGAGAAGGGAAAATTGGGATGTTTATGTAGGGGAGGCTCCATAAGCACACTGCATTCAGGTCTCATTTTCCAACCTTGAAATACACTGCATATTTTGCATTCTGCATTCATGTTTGTTTCTATAATACACACACACACACAAATCTTGAAGATAGGTGCAGATGTGTTCTCCTCCCATCCTCCACCCACACACCTTTCTGACCTCACCTCTCTTTGCTCGCCCCTGTGCTCTCCACCCCGGCCTCCTTGCTATTCCTTGAACATGCCAAACACACTCTTGCCTCCGGGCCTCTCCACTTGTTCTTCTTCCTCCGTGGAACATTCTTCCCCAAGAATTCCTATAGCTCTCACTCTGTCGCCTCCTTTGGGTCTGATCAAATGCCACCTTCTCAGACAGATCTCCCCAAATACTGTCCTGTTCAACACTGTAAACTGTTCTATTTCATCCCACCCTCCACTTATTTCTCTCCCTAACACTTACCACCCTCCGACATGTATTTTACTTACTTATTTGCATATTGTCTATCTCCCCCCAGGAGAACATAAACTCCATGAGGGCAGAGATTTTTGGGTTTTGTGGCTATATCCCCACTCATAGAATCGCTCATGGTAACAATTAAAACATACGGAATGAGTGAATATGTCATGTTTATGCTAGGGTTTCCTGTACCCCTGGCATACCCTTTGGAAGGTCCTGCTTGCCCAGTCTGAGAAGCCAAGCAGTTTGTGTTTGTTTATGATTGCTACTTCACTAGGAGCCAAGCTTTCCAAAAGACAAAATGGTGCCTCCAGAAAGTCTCCCCTGTTGATACACTTCCCTCCCTCCCTCTCCTGATCTGTGGTTTTGCTGGCTAAGTGTCTCATCTCCACTCTCTACAGTTTTGGCAGTAGAGTGAGGCATTAAGCACACAGACTCTAGGGCCAGACTACCTGGGCTTCATTTCTCCCCCTGACATTTACGAGCTCAGAAGAACTTACATAACCTCTCTGTGCTTCAGTTTCTCATCTGTAGAATGGGCCTAAAAATAGTACCTATTTAATAGGATATTTGATAAATTAATCTATGTTGAGTGCTAGGAATGAAGCCTGGCATGTGGTAAGTTCTCTGTAGGGATTAACCATTGGTATGGTACCCATCTGTCCATAATCTTGACCACTACACTCCCACATTACATGCCAGACACCTCGCTGGGAGTTTTCCTATCCAATCACACTGATTCCTCATGGTGTTTCACAGGAATAGTTTTCATTGTCTCCATTGGAACCCACAGTTGTCTCTTCACTACACTGTATACTAAGTGAGTGTGGGGAAAAGTAGGCTCCTATGCATCCTTCAAGGCCCAACTCATATATTCCCCTGCTCCAAGGAGCTTCCTTGCACTGATTCATTGTCTGGACTACATCACCCATGAAGGAGGTCAGGGTGGTGTTGTGGGTACCAGTGTGGGCTTCCCTAGCAACCTGCCTGGTTTCAAATCCCAACAGGGGCAAGTTATTCAGGTAAGTCAGTCTCCTCATCACTTTAATGGGAAATATAATAGAACCTAACTCATAAAGTCACTGTGAGGGTTAAATGAGATAATCCATATAAAGCATTTAATAAGAAGCACTTAATAAATGCCAGCTATTATTATTGTTTATATCAATATCAATGTCTTTTTTCTGGTATACTGTGAAATTGTTGGAGCATATACATCTTGAGCAAAATATTTAACTTCCCAGTTGTGAGATTTAGAGCAAATTACCTTCTCTATATCTCAATTTCATCATATAAAATGGTGATAATTACAATGCTTATCTCATAGGGTTGTTCTGGAGGTTAAACAGGTTAATAAATGTAAAGCACTTAACACAATGCCTGGCATATATGTTATAAGTGCTGAAAAATCATTAGTATTTATGTTCTCCTATGCCTAATTCAGTGCCTGGTACATAACAGGATAATAATCATCAGACTGAGTGAAAGAAGAAACTAAATAAATTTCAAACATTGCCTTTTAACTTTCTATATCCTAAGTTTTATATTGTTGTTTTCCTCACTGCACCTGTAACAGTTGTTCAATTATTCTTTGGAAATGCCAGAAAACCCAGCTGTGGAAAATCCCAGTGCAGCTTTGAATTTCAGCTTTGACCCCACTATGTGAATTAGGTCCTATAAAATCTTGCTAATTGTGACTTACCCATAATACTGGCTAAAGTTTAACCTGAATATTGTGTCCACAGAAGCACCAATGTTTCCAGCCTCCCTGTAGATCTGGGCTCCTTGAAGGAATCAAAGTCACTCAACAAACACAAGAGCTGGAGACACATTTCAGTTCAGCTTTATGAAGCTCTCAGAACAGAGTTCCATTGTGTGGGTTCTGACATAGTCTTTCTGGCCACAAAAGCCCCAGTAAATGGACCTTCGTTGAGTGGCCATCCAGGTACCATTTGTAACAAGGATATAGTAGAGAAAAGTTCTGAGGTTCAGAGAAATTAAGCAGTTTGCCTAGGGTCACACAGCTGTTTAAGTGGCAGAGCCGATAATCAAACCCAGATCTCTTTATCCTTGTTTGCCCATGCCCTGGCCAGCCAACTCCTCATAATGCTGGTCTTAAAGAGATCTTATGAGTGTTTGAAAAGACGGTTCATAAAGTTTTGGGCCCAGTGTAGGCATTCAAAAACTGTCACCTTCTTCTTCTGTTTAACCCCTTCCCCAACCCAATCTCTGCTTTGTTTCACAGTCCTGAGGTCAAAAGACTTTGCATAACAGGCTTCAGTTCAAATTCCAGCTCTGCCACTTCCTAGCTTAGGCAAATCATTTCATCTAACCAAGCCTCAGTTTCTTCTTCTGTCAAGTGGGGAAATAATGGCTATGCCAGAAGCTTATGTTGAATCAGGGAACAAAGAGAAAGTTTACACAGATGTAAGAGGTCATTATTCACATCAAAAAG